GTATTAATACTCCTTCTGATGAACCATACAACCAACCTCTGACTACATAACTGCGGATTCCCAAACAATTCATCCAAAGCAGCCGTCTGACAAAGCTCAATAGCGTGTTTGTACATGATACGCTCAGCAGAAATAACAGCCATTGCCGGATCCTGTCCGGGCAGACCAAGTGATGCCAACTCTTGCGACCTCACCTGAAAAGCACAACCATACTAACGCATGCATTTTCAAAAAACAAATCAAATGTGGAACCACCTAAGAACGCTAATTCTAGTCTCACCTGCGTGGATCCTGGTCCTTGCTATGTATAATGTGAGTGAATTCAAAGCTGTAGTGGGTCCAGAATACATTCAAAATTCATTCAAAGCTGTAGTGCGTCTCTCCCTTCTAAAAAGTGGAGCTGAAGGGCCCCAATCCGCTCCCACTGGCTGGCCGCACGCCTGACCATAGCCAACGCACTCGTCTGCGCCCTCTCACTTCTGGTTGTTACCCATTGCTGAATGCAACTTTCGCTGCGGGATCTTGCTATCTACGCAAATGCTGCATATCGAGGATAGTGCGAGCGGACTCAAAGAAAAACCTCTCCGGCATCATTACTCTACAGCTACCTTTCCAGGGAGCGGGCAAGAGAATCGTAATTTGCCGCTCCGCCGCGCGCGGCGATGGGCGCGGCGTTTTCTTAACTCGTGTTAACCTGTCGATTGGAGCACCGGACTTCATGTAGACCCCGTCATCGTAGACATTCATGACTATTTTCGGTTCTGAATTGCCTGTTGTCGCCATCTACTACCTGGAACCATCGTCATTTGCGGGCGCGACGTCGCACGCGACGCCCACAGCGCGGCGAATTACGATTCTCTTGTCACATAGCTCCGTTTCCGTTGAACTTTTGAAAAGAGAAAGTGGCATGCTACCGCATTGAACCCATTCATCTCACAACATGACAAGGAAAAGAATCCACGGAGGTGAGTGTAGAGTTTGTCATTAACAAATAAAACAAGGATATCTCACCAAACACTGGTGATACTTGTCGTTGAGTATGTTCAGAACGTTCTGAACAGCCGGCGATGGATGCAACACTCGACTGGCAACATTGCGTTGTGCAAGCAACAACGCAGACGACAACATGTGCAAGGCTCGCACATAAACAACCAACTGCTCCGCACGTCTGAACGCAGACGACGGTTCGGTCTGAAAATTTTCTACATTCAAAAGGAACAAAATAATTCGCCGCTCTTGCGGATGCTCCAACGAGACCGAAAAATTTCGCAGCTCAAGTAGGGCACTTACCCTATCATAAGTCGAAGAAAATGTAATGAACCGCTTACTTTTCTGGCACTCATTGCTGCCACCAACGGATTCTCCTTCTGCTCCGCAACTTGCACTAATGTATCCACCAATTCCACAACGAACCGTAGCTTAGCCAGGATCTTAATTACGATAGTTTGATATCCAAAAATTACTAAGCATTCAAGAAGCACAAGTAATCAAACTACATAAAACAGGAATGAGATAAATGAAGAATCATATCGCAAGATCAGAGATGTACTCCTGTTCGCTGCGGATGAAGGGGCGTGTCAGGCAGTATGAGTGTCTCGCCGTCAAAGCCGTTCTCTGCCTTCTTGTTGAAGCGCGCATGCGACAAAAAGTGGTAGAAAACGAGTAATACGAACGATATGATACAGTCATATCATTTGCTCGCTTCAACAACTGGTGGAGAACGGGTTTGGCACCGCGCCAAACTCACTCCGCCTGACACGCTCCTTTGTCGCAGTGAAGTAGAGTATAAGAATGATGGGAATTTCTATAGCCTCTTCACTATAGGTCTTCAAAAAGCTCGATTTTCCACTAACTTCCACGTTACTTCTACTTATTGATCAACTACCACCTTCTGCAGTATAGGTTTCGATCCCGCAGATGATAAGAAGTGAAAAGGTGGTTTGAAGAGCCAGCCCCACCTTAGGTATTTCTTCTTTCTTTTTTTGGCTACCCAGGAAGCACGCATCGGTGTGACCCCCGAAATTTCTCCTCCGAAATGTTATGATGTCATTACCAGGAGACAAATTACAATGGAGAATACGAAAGATTGGGCATTTCCTCAACTAAAGCATTCAGTGCGAAGCGCAAAATGGTAGCAAGATGCCAAAGAACTGCACCTGCTTGTGCTCTTCTTCCACGACTGTTTCGTGCTCAACAGCTCCTTGCGGCTGCTCATCTCCATCATCTTCTTCCGCACGATGTTCAAATAATGATGGTGCCCTCGGTAGGCTCTAAAATGTCACGCTCATAGTTAAAATTTAACGATCAGTTTATAAAAGCGCGAAAAATTCCACTTACGCCAAGTGCCGGTGGCGCGTTGGAAGCAGATGGTGGATGAGGTGACGACAGGGAATCGGATGGATCTGCTACATCCATTGACAGCTCACTTCCCTCTTCACCAGAAATGCAACTCTCCATCGCTTCCGATTTGAGGGACTCTGAAACATCACTTTGAGCTGGAGAGCTTCGGAACCGACATGAAAATAGAATGGGACGCCTCAATGATCAATTTTCCTAACCACTAAAAATATATCGCTATCGCTATCGGTTAAGTAACATTACAATGCGAATTCACAGCTGATAATGCCGGGAATCAAATCGATTTCAAGAAAAAATGAAGTATAGGGAACGCAAGCATAGAAAGTTCAAAATTACAGCATACCTCCACGATCTGCGCCCGCAAACGGCGATTTACGAGAATGATGCATTGTGTCGTCTTCATCATCACTTATATCCCTGAAAATCCAGATATAATCGAAAAATAGGGCACGTTTAATTGCAACTTGTGCGAAATTTCACGTACAGCTGAGGAGGCATCGTCTGATCGGCACGAGTTTCAGGAGGTGATGCGGATAAAAACTTAGCGTTGTCGAGTGGTGTGGTGTTCGTTTCCAACACATCCGGACGACTTACTTCTAGAGCCTCCGCTTGTGCCTTGGCTTCTGGTTGCGCTACAAATTTCAGCAGTCAGAAAATACTATAATTTACATAAATGAAAAGGAAAAGAAAACATGACGCAGTTTGGCGACGCGGAGGGGGCATTTTGCTTTTCCCTGCTTCACTAGTTCCGGTTTACAAGTCTCACTCTGGTGAAACCTGTGAACTCTTGTGAAGCTGGAGCAAGCTCGTTGAGCCACCATGGTAAAACCTGTCAACTCCCCTGTAAGCTCACGAAATAGCTTTCTAGATGGGTAGGCACGCTGGTGGGAAGTAACAAAAGTGAAAATGCCCCCGTCCCTCCCCTCGTCGCCGAACTGCCTCGGAAAACAGTTTACCGATCTAACAAAGAACCAACCACTTTCGGAAGCTTTTTCTGACGTAGTAGCAGGAGACGATTCTTCAGTAAGCTTCCGTTGACGGTTGCGCTCAGCCATCGATCTACGTGCTGCCGCTCCTCTTACGATGAATTGAGCTTAATAAGAGAAGGGATATGAGAAATCAATTCAGAGCCATGAGCCAAGAGCCATTAAATTAACCAAAGAAAAAGCATAACACTGGCTTCAAAGGCTATAATATTGAGGTGAAGAAGAAAAAAATTGCTCACTTGACGGTAATGTCATGCTTTCTACGGTAGGAATTGACGGCGGCGATTCGCTAGTCTGGCCTGACGTCGTTCGTTTGAGCGAAGATAGTCCTCGAACCGAGGGCGAAGGTATCGCTGAGCACGGCTCATTTTCACCATCTTTGATCCCGAGTCGCCGTTCCTAAAGCATCAGTGTAAAAGCACGTGTTTCGTTCAAACACGTCCATTAAAACAACCCAAAGCAGAACCTCAATTTTCGTGAACGCATTTCGTTGACTTGGAACTGGTACCGCTTTGACTGGAGCCGTCGGCATTTGAGATGAGGACGTATGTACTTGCACCTAAAAGAAAACTATTGCAAAAAAAACACTTCACAAAAAAAAGAATTTATTCAAAGTATTCCGTGCTCAGTATGCTGAAGGACCGGTGTTAACCCAACAGAATTCAAGTTTTCAGGAGAAAATTCTGCAGTTGCTACTCAATTTCTTCAGATTTCTGAGCAGCTATGTAAAGTTGTACTGAAGGATATGCCGTTCATCACTATTTTGAAATAATTCAAAATATAGTGAGAGAAGCAAGGGAACACAAAATTTCCTTTTAAAAAGCAAAATAGGATTTCATAGTTTGCGCCAGAGTCTCTCTCGTTGATCGATATAAGAATAAATTGTCAGAGAAAGCAGACATGGTTACAGTCTCGTTCGCTGTGAATGCTGGGGCGTGCTAGGGAGGCTGGGTTCGCGCGGTATTAACTTGTTTTTCCACCAAATGTGTTCGATTTCCAGCTTCCACAAATGGTGGCGAACGGGTTGGCGCCGTGCCAAACGCACCGTCCCAGATATGGCCCATCATCTGCAGTGAACAAACTGCAATCGCTCTCAAATGAATGCGTGGGATCACAAGCATCACAGAAATATCCACGCTTCAAGTATGTCGAACATGTGGGAACTAGATGCAAGTCAATTCCAGGATTTCGTCAAAACCCTCACTGCATGCCTGCTTACGGAGAAGCCTTTTTTGAACTTGACCTCTCTCTCACTACTCCTTGGTGATGAGCACCGTTTAAATCAGCCCAGAAGTCCCTGAAACACCCGTCTTTACCTAGGACCATGTACGTATACTAATACTGAACTCGAAATTCCTGATATATGGTAGGCGTGACTGCGTTCAACTAAATGTGACCATGTAGGTGCTTCTGGTGAGATATTTTCATTCTGACACATCTGGGGTCAACATTGACAGATGCGCTTGTCGCCAACTGAAATATCCCACAAATTACCCGTTCTATGCCATGCTCAAATGCCACGCCTTCTCCGTCTCGGAGATAAGGAGCGTTCTTACTGAAGATCTGGGTTGGTTGTAGTGAGACTTGTTAGCATACCAACGAGAAAATGAAAGCGGACAGATGGGAGAATAACGCGAACAGTAATCAGTGGTTCAAGAATAAACCTATATTTAGGCCTCTGAAGAAACGTAAAAGGTTGAAACGGAAGGCTAAATGAAGGCTCTAGCTAACAACCTCGCCTGACAAAGTAAACGTAATTCGGCTTTACAAAGTGTACGTGTATCCTCTATCCAAACAAAACATCCACACACCTG